CCTACACACCCCCCACTGCGGATCGGACCCACAACCTGGGCATGTGCCCTGACGGGAATCGAACCGGCGGCCTCTTGGTGCAGGGTGGATGCTCAGCCCCTGAGCCACCCCGGGCTGTTCACGTCTGCTTCTGTCCTCTCCAGTCGGTGACACAGAGACGAGGTCACTGCCTTCCCAGCCCACTTAGGGTTAAACTCCAGCCCCTCCCTTCAGTCCTGCCTGGCCTGGGTCTTGATTTTGTGTCTTCAGCCTCGTCTCCCCCACACTGCGTATCCTGAACATGTCAGGGACACCGTGCTCTGCTGTCGCCTGCCTCGAGACCTTGGTGCCGGCGGTGCCTTACGCCCCTGCCCACCGGCCAACCCCTTGATTCCGCAGGTCTCAGCTTCATGTTACTTTCCAGGCCCCTTCCCTCGCCCTCCCATCAGGCTCAGCTGGGACCGCTCACTGCCTCCTGCCCCTCCAGGGCGGGACACTCTTTCACGCGCCACAGCCATGGTCGCATGTGTCCTGTTCAGTGTCTGAAGGCTTTCTTTGTGCTTTCAGAGGGAGCGGAGGGGAGAGGGAGAGGGCGATAGAAACATCCATGAGAGAGAACACCGATTGGCCGCCTCCTGCATGCCCGCCCTGGGGATTTGGCCCACCACCTGGGCACGTGCCCTGACCGGGACTTGAACTGGCGACCTCCTGGTGCAGGCTCGACGCTCACCACTGAGCCACACCGACTGGGCAGTGTCTGAAGATTTTAACTGTCTTGTTTCATGACTATGAACTGCATGAAGGCTGGATCTGTTTTGTTCTCACTGCTATATTCTTTTTTTTTTTTTTATCCTCACCCGAGGACATTTTTCCATTTTTTGTACAGATAGAGTGGGAGGGAGAGAGAGAGAAACATCAATGTGAAAGGGACACATCGAGTGGCTGCCACCCGCAGGACCAACCAGGGCCGGGAACAAACTGCAACCGAAGTACGTGCCCTTAGCGGGAACCGAACCCGGGTCTCTCCGGACCGCAGGCCGACGCTCTAACCGCTGAGCCAAACCGGCCAGGGCACTGCTATATTCTTGATGTCTAATACAGAACTGTGCATATAAGAGGCACTTTAATAAATGGTTAGTAAATAAATTAACATTTTATGGCAAGAGTACTGTTCATGCAGGATTTCCGAGTTGGAAAGCATCTGGTGAACGTTTAACGAGGGTGGTCTCATTTGCATCGTGCCTGCTGGGTCCTTGACGCAGGGGCATTCACAGTGTCTGGAGACTCTGGGCAGCGGCCTCCCGTGGACCTGGTGCAGCATCGCTCACCCTCTGCGCTCCTCATTCTTCTCGGGTTTAAGAGCCCGAGCAGGTGGTGCAAGGGAGGTGCTTGCTCATTCCCTCTGGTTACAGCTTCGTTCGTGGTTGGTGGCTTTTCTCTGGCTCGGCCATGCCACGGGCGCCGATGCGAGTGAGCTTGTCATCGTGACGCCTGTCCTTTAAAGACGGGGACTTCCGCTGTTAGATCGCAAATGAGGTGTTCGAAGCCATTTCACCTTTGGCCTTCCCTTGGCTGATTGCTGTTCTCCATATAAGTTCTTGCAGGTTCTTCAGTCCATAAACCTCTCGCAGGTGGGCTGGTCGTGGAGAGCACCTGCCTCTTCCTGTGCCCGTGGGCAACTGCTCTGCAGACGTGGTGAGGAGGCGGCTGACCCGGAGCGCCCGCTCCGCACCGCCCGCCAGAAAACTTCATAATGTGCAGTTTGCCTTCCACTATGTACGCAAAGTACCCGGCAGACGGTCAGTCCAGGGCAGCAGTAACGCCTGGGCTCCGGAGTCAGCTCTTCTTGATTAGAATTATAGTCCTGCCACTTAGCAGCTGTGTGACCTTTGATCCGTTTCCTGTACTTGCGTCGGTTTCCTCGTGTAGTGGGCCTGTCACAGGCGGTTGGGATGACTTGGGAAGTGAATGTGTTCGAAGCAGTTGTGGTGATGTTGGTGCCCAGTGAGCAGTGGCTGTGTGTTAGCTGTTACCTCCTTCAGTTCTCAGAACAACTGCGAGTTCCCAGTAGAACTCCAGTTCCCCCGGTGAGGAAACCTGTCCAGAGAGGTTAGGTTACTTCAGGGCAGATCCAGGATTGGAACCGCGCCCCGAGAGGCAGTCACGGTGTCCAGGTGGGAGGAATCACACACCGTGCCTTTGCCCGGAAGGGAGGTCAGTGTGGCAGGTGCTCAGACTCCCATCAGCTGCCCTAGGAGATGCCTTGGTCGTACCTCTGACGAGGCAGGACCCGCGTCAGCTTCAGTAAAGGGATGAAGAAACTGACACGGAGAGATGGAGTCCGTCCTAGCAGTCAGTTTGCGCCCCGAGGCCGCGAGCTTCCTGAAGCAGAAGCTGCAGGGCCCGTGCTTGCTTCCCCAGCACCTCACACTCCTGGGGAACGGACACAGTGCCGCTGGTGGTGGGTGAGGGAACAAATAGGGGACAGGTTGTGAGGGGGACAGCTCCGCTGGTCAGGGAGGCAGAAACGACGCGGGTGTTTGGTGTGGGTGACTGGACGGAGCGCACCCCCGGCGCGGATGGCACTGGGGGGGGCAGGTCTAGGGAGGAGAGGGACCGGAACGAGCTCAACTTAGGTGGGGTGTGAGCCCAGATGAGATATTCAATAGGCAAATAGAAATGAAGAGAGAACAGGGCTGGGAAAGTACTGGAACCTCTTTTGAATTTGGAACAAGTATCCCGGAATCGTAATTCTGTAACGTCAACTTCCCAAGAAATGCTGTTGTCACGTGCGGGCTTATCCGGCGGCGTTTCAGACGACCTCTCGCTGTCTTGGGACAGTGTAAGTGGGCAGCAGACTAACTTTATGGTAGAGAAGCGAGAAATGGAGGAGGGTTAGAGCTGAAGCCTGGCCCGGCCGGCTGGGCCGCGTCTCAGAGCATCAGCCAGGCTTGCGGGCTTGATTCTAGTCAAGGGCACACGCTTTGGTTGCAGTTCAGTCCCTGGCCCTCGCTGAGGTCATGCTGGAGGCAACCAATCGATGTTCCTCCCTCCCCCTCCCTCCGTCTCTCTCTCTCTCTCTCTCTCTTCCCCTCCCTCCCACTCTGAAGATAAATGGAAAAATATCCTGGAGTGAGGATTTTAAAAAAGAACGAAACCATATATAAAATGTACAGTATAAATGACATCTCAATGTAAACCTTATTTCCTTAATACTGTAAGTGCCTTTGGAGAGCTAGTAAAAGTAAAAAATTCTTAGCTCGTCAGGCCCATGGGGCTCAGTGGCTGAGCGTCTATCCTGCACCAGGAGGTCGCCAGTTCGATTCCCGGTCAGGGCCCATGCCCAGGTTGTGGGCCTGATCCCCAGTGTTCTCTCTCATGGATGTTTCTCCCTCTCTCCCTCACCCTTCTTCTCTCTCTCGAATCAATAAAGGGAAAGAAATTTTAAAATTCTTAGCTGAGGTTATGTATATTAGAAATCGTACCAGGGTTGATGATGTCATAAATAAATAAAGTCTTTCTCAATCAATGATTCAGGCTGAAGTCAATAAAATCAAATTGCTGAACCAGTAGGGGGGGAGGGAAGCAGGATTAGATTCACCTTTGTGCAGCCTAGCCGTTTTTCTGTTACTTGTTTAACCGTTTTATAATTGCTGGACCTTAACTGGAGAGGTTATGTTTCACATCATGTGTATTAAGAGCTCAGTTTTATTCTAATAAAGTTAAGTTTGCAGTATTTTAGGAAAATAATGTTATGTAAGGTACACTTCTATTGGTTTACTTTTGTGATGAAGCACACAGCATATTTAAATACGTGATTTTTTTTGCTCAGCCGGTGTAGCTCAGTGGTTGAGCGTTGACCCTGCACCAAGAAAGAGGTCACTGGTTTGATTCCCGGTCAGGGCACATGCCCAGGTTGTGGGCCTGATCCCCAGTGAGGGGCATGCAGGAGGCAGACAATTCATGTTCTCTCTCACCCATGTTTCTATCTCTCGCTCCATCTCCTTTCCTCTCTCTAAAATAAATAAAGGGAAAAATTTTTTTTAAATGTGTGATTTTTCTAGGTAGACTTTTCCTTCTATCTATAGAATACATTATTTATTAGAAAGATTCAAGACATTTTATAACATCTAGGATTTTAAAGATTATTAATGAATAGTGTAGTATTTTGTTGTTGTTATTATTATTATTTTATCCTCACCCGAGGACATTTTTCGATATTTTGTTCAGATAGAGTGGGAGAGAGAGAGAGAGAAAGAAACATCGACGTGAAAGGGACACATCGAGTGGCTGCCACCCACACGACCCAGTCAGGGCCGGGCACAAACTGCAACAGAGGTACATGCCCTTAGCAGGAACCGAACCCGGGTCTCTCTGGGCCGCAGGCTAACGCTCTAACCGCTGAACCAAACCGGCCAGGGCAGTTATTATTATTTTTAATCCTCATCCGAGGATATTTTTCCATTGATTTTTATTTAGTTCAAGTGGTGGCGTGGGCGGGGCACGGAAGGAGAGACACACATCGATGTGTTGCCTCCTGTATGACTCCAGCCAGGGCTGGGATCAAACCTGCAACCAAGGTACGTGCCCTTGACAGGGAATCAAACCCGAGACTCTTTGATCCGAGGGCCAACACTCTAACCACTTAGCCAAACTGGCCTGGGCTAGAGGAGTATTTTAAAACCAACATTTCCTGTTTATTCTTAATATATTTAGAAATTATCTTGGCAGTAACAAAATAGTTTAATTAGTTTAGAGCATCCAGGAAAGACTGTTGAGATTACGTCGTGTGCGTATCTGCTTTACAAATGGTAACTGAGGTCGAGAGCGGTGGTTGCCCATCGCTGAATTCCCTGAGCTTCGCATTGCAGTGCCTTTTTAAAAACAAAAATAGCTTCAATCTTACAGATATATGTTATTGTTTGAAGTTATGTTTGGGCATCTGTTTTTCTCTCTTTGTGTTTGAAAACTCTTCAGAATTCTGTCCCATTCATTACCTTTTCCCTGTTCTTATCTTCCAGGAGTCGGGAGAAGGCAGTGGACATTGGAGTCATTGTAGAGTCATTGAGCCCTTTTACCAGAAAGCCTCACTGAGCGAAGCCTTTAAGCTAGCGCCATAAGAACGGTTGTCAAAGGTGACGTGTAAAAGGAGACATCAGAACTGAACCATGAGTCAGCTGTGTATTCGCATCACGTTATTGGGAGCCTGTCTGTCCATCGCTTCTCGTGTTCAAGGTAGACCCTGTTCAGTGAGGTGGTCTTCTCCGTTTAGATCATGCATTTCTGTATATAAGAAAGCATTTGTTCTTGAACTGCTGCTTCAACTCACGTGCCTTTTTGAACAGTTAAGCCCAGGGTAACGGCATACATTTTAAGTACAAGGCAGACAACACGTTTCCCAAATAATTTTTGAATTTAGCTCTGATAGAACCATTTTCAATATTTGTAAAATCTCTTCTCTTATGACCTGTAGCATCAGGTCTTGTGAGAATTTAATGATGTAAAATATAAAATAAAGTACCTGACCTCGTGCCTAAGGTTCAGGGTAATAGGTATTTAGGACTTGGTATAAAATTCCTGTCTCCTTTAAAATATAATGAGGAGCCCTGGCCAGTTTGGCTCAGCGGCTGGAGCATCAGCCTGTGGACCAGAGAGTCCTGGGTTCGGTTCCCACTAGGGGCACATACAGAAAAATAAATAAATAAAATACAGGGTCAAGACAGCAGTGTAGGTAAACGTGGTATCGCGTCCTCCCCCAACCACAATCAAAGTTACAACTAAACTACAGAACAACCATCATTCAAAACCGCCTGAAATCAAGCTGAATGGAAGTCCTACAACTACGGAATTAAAGCAGCAGCCACATCCAGACTGATAGGAGGGGCGGAGACCCGAGGGGCGGAGGCGCGATGGGCTGGTCCCACACCCATGTGTGGTGGATAAAAATCAGGAGGACACCTTGGCTGGGAAGGTCCTCCCTGAGGACTGAGGGGTCCCTGTCCCACACCAGGTGCCCCACTCAGGGTCCCAGTGCCAGGAAGAGAAGTCCCCATAACTTCTGGCTGGAAAACCAGCGGGAACTGAGGCTCAAGGAGGCTGAGGCAGCTGGAGCTCCAGGCAGCTCCTTAAAGGGCCCACGCACGGACTTCTCGGACTCACTCCCTCTAAGCTTGGAGGGGAGGCAGCTCGGGGGGTGCCAGAGACGTACAGGGAAGAACTGAGCTGTTTGGCACTGGAGTGAGGGCTGAAGAGGGGGCTTTCTCGGGGACAAATGTGCTGTCACAGGCCCTTGTTCCTTTGGTGAGCCCTTCCCTGGGGCAGCAGACAGTCGCCATATCTGGGACTCCAGCAACCTGGCTCACACTGGTTGCCCCACCCTGGTGATTCCCTGAGGCCTCGCCCCACCCAACTTTCAGGCCCACCCAAGCTGTTGCCACTTGCTTAACCATAGGATTGGCCTGTCTTGGGTCCTGCTTCAGGTTTTTCCTAAATTATTTCAGACAAGGAGCATCTGGTGTCAGCTAGCCCCATACCGCTCGTTAAGTAATACACAGAAACAAACACAGGGAGGCAGCCAAAATGAGACAAAGAAACAGGTCCCAAATGAAAGAACAGAATAAAACCCCAAGAAAAGAACTAAGCGAAATGGAGATAAGCAACCTAACAGATGCTGAGTGCAAAATACTGCTTATAAGGATGCTCAATGAACTTAGTGAGAACCTCATTGAACTTAGGGAGGGCCTCAAGAGAATAAAAAAGGACCAGTCAGAAATGATGGATGAACAGTCAGAAATGAAGGAAGCATTAACTGAAATAAAAGGTAATTGACAGAGATTCAATAGTAGAGTACGTAAATCCAAGAAACAAACCATCGATTTGGAATATAAGGAAGCAAAAATGCCCAATCAGAAAGCAAAAAGAAAAAAGAATCCAAAAAAAATGAGGATAGTGTAAGGAGCCTCTGGGACAACTTCAAGCGTGCCAACATTCGCATCTTGGGGGTGCCAGAAGGAGAAGAGGGAGAACAAGAAATTGAAAACCTGTTTGAAACAATAATGGCAGAAAACTTTCCTAACTTGGTGAAGGAAACAGACATACAAGTCCAGGAAGCACAGAGCGTCCCAAATAAGATGAACCCCAAGAGGCCCACACCAAGACACATCATCATCAAAATGCAAAAGGTTCAAGACAGAGAGAATCTTAAAAGCAGCAAGAGAAAGGCAGCTAGTTACCGACAAGGGAGTTCCCATTAGGCTGTCAGCTGATTTCTGAAAAGAAACTTTGCAGGCCAGAAGGGAATGGCAAGAAATATTCAGAGTGATGAAAAGCAAAAACCTGCAACCAAGATGACTCTATCCTGCAAAACTCATTTAGAATTGATGGCCATAGAAAGAGTTTCCCAGACAAGAAAAAGTTAAAGGAGTTCATCACCACCAAACCGTTATTATGTGAAATGATGGTCTTTTTGAAGAAAAAGATAAAATATATGAACAAACAAAATGGCAATGAATACATATGTATTGACAATGGAATCTACAAACGAAATGAACAGGCAGAACAGAAACATTCTCATAGATACAGAGAACATTTTGTTGGTTGCCAGACGGGAGGAGGGTTGGGGGAATGGGTGAAAAAGGTGAAGGGTTTAAGAAGTACAAATTCATTGCTAGACTGACAAACCTCAAAGGGAAAGGGGTTGGGGGCTAGGAAGAAATAAACCAAAAAACTTATATGCATAACCAGTGGACACAGACAACAGTGTGGGAAAAGGCGGGAGTGGGGAGGAGGGGGTCAATGGGGGAAAAATGAGGAACATCTGTAATACATTCTACATTCAACAATAAAGATTTAAAATAAATTAATTAATAATAATAATTAAAAAATAAATAAAATATAATGAGGAATAAATGTAAATAATTTTTAAAACCATTGTTGTTGAAAGACTTCGTAAATATAAACGGCACCCACGTATGTCTGCTGAATACTAGAATGTCTTCGTAAAGTGCCCAGTTTTATTTACGACCGTCTTGTGATTTGCTCTGGTGGGTCCGCAGCTTGTTGGGCTCACCCTGTGGGAACCGTCAGATCGGAGGGACTGTGCGTGAGCTCTTCCCATGTGGTTTAGTCAGAACGATATTTTAAACGGAACAGAAAGGACTATTTTGCAAAAGGATTTTAGATAGAACTCACTGGACATTTTTATTGTCTTAAATTTATGACTACCGATTGCTCTTTCATGTTTTTTCACAGTGATAATGGATTAATATCTACTGAAAAGAAAAAATATGACTAACAGCATAAATCTTTTTACATTTTCACTTTAAAGCATAAACAGAATGAATTCTGTAGCTCCTTTGTATTTTGTCATAGGTATAATACCCTTATTAACATGCTCCAAATACAGAGCCCGCTTGTAAAAAATCACTTTTTAAATGAAATACCACATTATTTAATAAAACACCTTTATTTTGGTATTTGTTGTTATACGTCTTGTTGATCAGCACCAACGAAAGCTGTAGTAGAGTTGAAGAAGAGTTAAATTAATAACATTTATATTTGCGACCTCGCTTCAGCTCATCTTTATTCAGGGTTTACAAAATGTTTCATCTATACTGGTTACACGGAACCCAAGTGATGCAAACAAGTCTCATTCCCCACCTTCTGCGCAGGTAGTTCTGTAATAAACTCTTTTAGGTGAAGTGAATCGGTAATTAGTTATCAGCTGTAAGTGAAAAATTTTAGTAAGAATTATCTTTCTCTGATAAAGAGCAAAATTTGTAACATAGCCTTTAAAAAGGATTAGTTTGTAGTTGCTTTATCTTTTGGGGTTTTTTGTTTGTTTATTTTTTATTGTTGACAGTATTACAGATGTCCCCCCAATTTTCCCTTTTGCCCCCAGTTTATAGTTGCTTTAAATGCTAAGATAAAAACATCTGCTCTTAAAGAAAAGCGAGAACTAAAACTAGTGTGTCGGGTGGGAGGGAACCAATGCAGGAGAAATTTTATTTTTTGAAGATGACTAAGAGGGATTGCAGAGTTGTATTAATGGAAATGACCTTGACTTTAGCTTCATCTTTCTCTTGAATTGTATCTTGGGGAAGTAAATTTCCCTGTACCATGGTTTCCTGTTAGAAAATAGATATAATAACACATATCCTAGACATAGATAGGAATATTTTGAGCATCAAATGCTATGCTATAGATTAAAGTGCTTTTACATTGAGATAAAGTTACTCAGGTTGGAACTGAAGAAGGGCTCATCTGCTTCTAACATCTGGTAGGCCTTGTTTTTCACGTGGTCGTATTTTAGCTTTAAGTTAAAATTACCCAATACACAGTGACTTAAACAAATGGAGATTCATTTTTTTTTATGGAGATGGCAGGTGTTTTCTCGTGTCCATTCAGGACTGAATGGTGTCAGGGTTGACATCTGTGATTTTCTTGGCTTTCCCTTTGGGTTTCACAGAATGGCTGCTGTTATTTGCATCAGAGGAAGGGAAAATGGGGAGAGTCAGCCCTGGCTGCAGCTGGACCTTATATCAAGAAAGCAAAAGGGTCCCCAGAAGTTAACTCCCTGCTGGCTGACTTTATCTTGTTTTATTGGCTAAACTGAGACAGTTGCGAGGGCTACTGGGAAGGAGAATTGCCACGGTCAGCTTAGGTTAATATCTAAATCCATTGCCTAGGGTTGGACACCCCCCAAAAAGTCAGAGTTCTGTTAACTAGGAAGATGGGGAAGGGGTGTGGGAACAGATATACATTGGGCAACTAAAAGGGTCTGAAACAGATTTTATCTTTTTTTATCAATTAAGATGTTTTCAGATATAAGTAACAAAAACCCACAATAAATGAAATAGCTTAATAAGGAAAGTGTAATATCACACATCAAAAACTCTGAACACAGGGGTGATCCAATTAGTCAATCCCCTGGCTCATCAAGTTCTTTCTCTATTTAAATTGCTATTCTGCACATGAGCTATCGGTGAACTCGCTTCACGGCCTCGGCGTCTGCTGAGGGGCGGACGCCACCTGCAGATGGAGGAAGTTCAGGGTGACAGTGTTCAGTGGGCCAAGAGGGTTGGATGTCTTTTACTCAGTAAGGAAATCTTTCCCCAGACAGCTCCCTCACTCTCCCCCCAACAAACTTCCTTCTAATTTTACTGGGCAGAATTTCTTACATGCTCTTGTGGGAACAGTGGCCAGGGGAATGGAACCGGCGTCGTTAGATTAGACCAGCAGTTCTCTGCCGAGGGTACGGCTGTGCTTCCCGGGGTCACGAAGGAGGGCAACCGCTTGACCACAAAGCGGGGTGGGGTGGTGGTGGTGTGTGTGCGTGTGCACGTGTGTGCGTGCATGTGTGTGCACACTCATGTCGTCAGCAAGGTAAAGGTGAGTAGAACAATGAACGGGATCTGTTGCAGGGCACCGAGTCTGTCCACCTAACTACATACTGTTTCTCGCATATACTAAAAGTGCTGTGTTGATATGAAATACTCAGATCCTCAGAGGGATTTATAACCCAGAGTCTCATCCACTGCGTGTACTCAGCCACTAATCCAGGACCTCTGGGTTGTATGTGGCCTTCTCCATGTTCCAGCAGCCTGTGGCTGAAGGAAAAACTATTGATGCCAACACACCCAATAGGCCACGATGAAGGAGAAACAGGATACTGTGTAAGCTCCCACTTAGGAAGGAAGACTTGGAAGGAAACGTAGTAGTCACTCCCATAGCACATGGGCTACGGAACTGCTGCTGTTGATGCCCGTCGGTCTCCGCGACTCGCCTGTGTCCTCCTCACTGCTTCCTGTTGTAGATGTTTTATCTTAAGGGTGGGGGAGAGGGAGTTCTGCTTCTATATGCAAAAAAGCCAACAGATTCTGGGAAGGTAGGAAAATCTATTTAGCTAGGAATGAAAATCCAGTAAAATCGGTGATGCTAAAAATTTCTGTTAAGGAAAAAGGTCTCCGTGTGTGTGTGTGTGTGTGTGTGTGTGTGTGTGTTTCTAAGCATGTAAGCTATTACATATTTTTGGCATGTGTTGGTTTTGAAATAGAATCCGTAGCCCCAGCCCACCCCAGGCCTTTCGTTTTGTACTTTGTGAACCGAGGGCTGTGGTAGGAGCCGGCAGAAGGCCAGAGCGCCCGGGTGTGATGCAGGGCGGGGCTGCGAGTTTGTGCTGAAGAGTTGTGCAGGGTCCAGGTCCTGCCGGGCCTCGGGCGGCCTGGCGTAGGAGCTTAGAGTCCATCTTGATTGCCTGCGAAGCTGTTCATTGGTTTTAAGCAGGCCAGTGACAGTGTCGGATTTATGTGTATAAGATAATTGGCTGCTATGTGGGGAATGGATTGCAGGGGCCACGCACGAAGTATTGGCCATCTTGGTGGAGATTTTCCCCTCGGACGTGACATGATACAATGGGCCCAGGTGATCGCAGTGCAGTTGGAGAAGAAAATGAGTACATTTTGGAGGTTGAGCCGAAAGACTTGGGGAGGCCAGGTTTGAGGAGCAAGACAAGAGCTTCATTTTGGAGAAGTTAATTCTGAGAGGCGTAAGCAAGTCAGGGCTTGAGGGATACATCAAGGAACCGTCAACAGAAAGATTTGTGTGAGCCACGGAGGTAGATGCCGTTGCTGAAGGAGGGGATGCGGGAGGCTGTTGCTCGGTATTTTTCTTGGCGTCCATGCCTCTACTGAGTGAAGTCTTACAACTTGAAGATACGGCTCAGATTTCACTGCTTGTGACCCCCTAGGATACGTTTATATAATTGGCTCCCCCTTTGCTTATGTAACACCTTTGTATTACGTCACCTTTTACATTGTGTGTGTTTATGTGCTTAGCACCCTCCTGACTTTGTCTCCTTCTGAGGACCAGAGCAGTTTCCAGAATTCAGTACCTTGCCTGAACACAGCAGGCCTCTAATTAGTGCTGTTAAATAAATATTTGAGATGATATAAATCTCAGATGCAACATATTGTTGTTGGTAATTATCTTTTAAATTCAGGTCATTTTCTAGAAGTTATGTGTGCTACTGATCTTATAACTTTGAATTTTTCAGATATGAGTGGTCTTTTAGTATAATCTTCATTATTAGTAATATTTTCATTTGCATACTAGTTTATTTTTAATTATTTTATGATATATTCATTTGATCTCTATATAACCTCCACATTTGAATTGGGCGGGTATTGCTACCATTTTTTATAGATAAAGAACAGAGATTCTGAGAGTAACTTATCTATGGACATAATTGAACCTTTGACTTTTAACTATTTTGGTGTTATTTCTACCACACTACTTTTTCTGTGTCATTCGATTTTTTAAAAATGAATAGCATGTGATCTATTTTTTGCCATGTGTTTATCATAGTTCAATGGATGCTTCCTTCTGTTCCGGTGATAGGATTTTAAAGCTGGTCAAGAGACCTCAGCTGTCCTCTGGTCTCACTGAGTAAATGTGACCTGGAGAAATGGCATGGCTTACCCGTGAGCACCCAACCAGCTACGCGAGTAGAACCATGTAGCCCAGGGTCCACGATTTCTTCCTTCCTTCCCCTTTGCCCCCCAGCTTAATTTTATAGTTGATGTTCTCAACATAAATGAAGCCTGTAAGTTTTATAGTAATTTAGGGGATCAAGTAAGATTATTAAAATTCAAGGTGTGGAATCACTAAAACCTACTTAGCAGCACATTCTTTTCCTGTTATCAGTGTGAATTGTATGTGTGTTTTTCCCCCCTCTGTTCAGTAGTTCATCTCATCAGTATGGCCAGACTTAAAGCCAAGTCTGAATTATTAAGCCTTGAACCACTTATTTAACATTTCTAATTAAACACATACCCAATTCTCTTATTATTCCACACCTGTTTGGCTCTGCATTTTATTCCCTTGAGATGAACCCTAGTGGGTTTCAGCTGATTCACGGGGGGCGGGGGGAGCGGCAGGAATTGCTAAAACATTATTTGGTTCTAGGCTGCTTTCAGCCTAAAAGACTCAGACCAAACTTGACTGTCTGTCACTTGAAGCTGCTAAACTCTAAGGCAAGAATAGCCTTCGGTTCCTGGCGGCAGGGCCTGGATCTGAACCAGTGACCTTGAGACAGAAGGCACCAGATGACACGATGAGCCCCGTGGTCCCACAGTTCCCTTCCTCGGCACTGCACATCCAGAGCGGGGTGCTTAGCCCACTTCCGCAGAAGGGCACAAATAAAGGACTTATTTTTTAAAACTAGTCACAAGTTTTGTGACTCTTAAACCAAAGAGTTTAAGAAAAGAAACACAGTTTGTCTGTTTTTTAATGATTGGAAGCAACCTCGGTCTTCCCTGGGATTGCTTCCACGTGTGTTTCCTACACACGAAGACCACCCTCTCCCAGCGCCATGCGTGAAATGGTGACATGGGCATCTCCACACGTCCCACAGTGCCTGGAGCAGAACTCCGCGTGTAACAGGTTATTAATCAGCGCCTGTTACTTATGTATATGAAATTTATTTTTAATTAAAGATACATTAGCCAAAATTACAATGGTTAAAACACTGCCCTGGCCGGTTTGGCTCAGCGGTTAGAGCATCGGCCTGCGGTCCCGAAAGACCCGGGTTCGGTTCCTGCTAAGGGCACGTACCTCGGTTGCAGTTTGTCCCCCGCCGTGGTTGGTCGTGCGGGTGGCAGCCACTCGATGTGTCCCTTTCTCTACCGATGTTTCTCTCTCTCTCTCTGTTCCTCTCTCTCCCTCCCACCCTTACCTGAACAAAAAATGGAAAAATGTCCTCGGATGAGGATTAAAAAAAAAAGACAGAAAACCTTAGAGATGTTTCCTCATTGAAACTACAGTCAAGGGATCCGCGTGTCAGAAGTGGCTCATGTTTCCCGTGTGCTTGCAGGGCAGAACCTAGACAGCATGCTCCACGGCACCGGGGCGAAGTCGGACTCCGACCCGAAAAAGTCAGAAAATGGAGTGACCTTAGCACCAGAAGACACCTTGCCTTTCTTAAAGTGCTACTGCTCGGGACACTGCCCGGACGACGCCGTCAACAACACCTGCATGTAAGCACCCGATGCTCTGCTCCCCGTGGGGGCGTCACCCCTGATGCTCTTCCCAGAATTGTTTACATCGGCCAAGGGCTCTTTCTCTCTGTCTTTGTATCATGTCTCCCGGAGAGCCAGAGCTTCCTTAGGAACTTACTGTGTCGATTGGGGTTACTTTGTTACAGCAGCATAGCTTTGTAAACAAGATCAGAAGAATGTGATATTTGTCTAACATTTTAAGTTTATATAAAGTGATTGATATTCATAGGAAACTTTGAGATTAAAAAAAAAAGAAAACATGAAAATTTTGCCAAAGCCTTGTCATTCTAAATTGGCTAAGATACTTTACAGATATGTAAGAATGATACTGTGATATTTAATTTTATGTTATTTTCTTACAAGATAGCTCCCTGATCCACATCTGATTTATGTAGCCACCTTAATTTTCCTACTTAATTTTGTGTTAGCTGTCTAACACATTATACATGACCAGGTTATTATGTTCCACGTTGGAAAAATTGGTTGACCGGCCAAAAACGAATCCCCTGGACAACCTGAAACCTGATCTCAGCAGTGAATTGTCTCCCCTTTATGGCTTGTTCTGTTCTTCCCTAATTGTGTGCTCTTTGAATGTGACCAGGCATAAAGCATAACTTTTTACATGTAATAGCTTGAAATTACACGGTGGTTCTTCACATCTTAACTTTGTCCTCTGGTGGTGGTCGGCTTGGTTTTGACAGGCTGGGTGATCTGTCATCCGGTGACCCCTCGCCGGACGTCTGTCCGCAGTGCCTACCTGATATGAGTGGGTGTTTGTTAGCGCCGAGTGACCCAGCGTGAAACCGAACCGTCCGTTTTATCAGAATTTCACTGCACACTTCCCATTCGCTCCTTACGGAGAATGACAGTTCTGCAGGGTTCTTCTAAGTAGCAGCAGTACAGTCCCTGAGAGGAGCAGTAAATAGGAGCACAGAGCCCTTCTGCAAGTTTTTCTCTACCCATTAAAGGCTAAGTGAATATATTAGGGGGAACTCAAGCATACTGATGTTAAAATGATAAATTTCATTAAAGACAAATACATTTATGTACATTTCTTGAAAATTCAGCTATTCGAAAGTTCTCCCTTTTTTTGTTAATCCTCACTTGAGGATGTTTTTTCCATTTTTTTTTTTTTTTTTAGAGAGAGAGGGGGAGGGAGAGGGGAGGGAGGGGAAAAGGAAGAGAGAAAGAGGGAGAAAAACATTGATGTCAGAGAGATACATCGATTGGTTGCCTCCCGCACGTGACCCAACTGGAGCTGGTATTGAACCTGCAACCCAGGTACGTGCCCTTGACCAGGAATCAAGCCTGTGACCTTGCAGAACATGGGCTGACGCTCTAACCACGGAGCCCCCTGTTTATGTTCAGTGACTAGCGCCTCTCAGAATCTTAGTCTATTAAATACATTTTGTCATTGAGTCTGTTTTTATGTTCACAGGAAAGTTTGTTTTTATTTATTATTGTGTATGTGAACATTGAAAACTTTACAGATAAAGAGTTATTTTTAACTATGTTTTTACTTTATAAAATTTTACAAATCAGCTCTCTGTAGTCACAGGGCTGTGATTTGCAAAGAGAAGTTGCATAGTGATGCCCATTTAGAGGACGTGTTTGGTAGGAATCCGTTTCTGCCCGACACAGGCTCTGGCTGGACCTTAGGTCTCAGTTCAGATGGGACATGTTTCATTTGCCTTAAAGCCCGTTTGGTTGGCCAATCCATTGTAGTTCTAACTTAACAAGGTACTGAAGGCCATCAGTACCTGGTCACATGCAAACCCGTTATGTGAATTAGTACTTGCTGATACTAAGTCACGTTTTGTTTCTGGGGCTCCTTAGAGGTTTGTTTGTTTTCTTTTAGAACTAACGGGCATTGCTTTGCCATCATAGAAGAGGATGACCAGGGGGAGACGACGCTAGCTTCGGGGTGTATGAAATATGAAGGGTCTGATTTCCAGTGCAAGGTAAGGTCTGCTCTGGGGCCTGTGAAACGCAGAGGCAGGGGCCGCGGACAAAGCGCGGGCCCCCAGAGAGGTGAGCCTGGCCTGTACGGTGCTTCATGTTCTTTAAGCAAATCTATTTGGGAAACTTACTAGCTTTTACTTCAAGTGGTAGAATTGTGACCACTGAAGTTTCAGAGTACTTAAAAAGAATTTCAAGTTATCCTTTTTCTAAATTGTTATAACTGCAAAAAGTGATGTTGTCACACTTGTTTGTGGATTGTGAGATGAACAGACATGAGGGTGACGGGCACGAACACCTTTGCATCCCGGAAACGGCTCAGAGACCACCAGTCGTGTGAGGAGGTCTCAGTGCGGGCACTTTAACAGCAGCAGCAAGGGACGGGATCGGCCCTGGTTGATGGACATCCTAGTGGCGCCCTGGGTTACAAACCTGGTCTCCTCAAAGTGCGGTGTAGCATTTTGCCCTAGAGGAACCTGTCAGGGTTTTGAAAAGCGACTCCGATAGAACTGTTCGTTCGCAGGTCGAAGCTTCAGTCATTTTAGAAAAGTATTACAATTGCTTAGAAATGCTCGGGATTGATAGAATCCCTAAAGGTTACGTGTTCTACCTCTCCGCCGAAGTTTGGACCCCCCCACAACCACAGTGCACCCCGTCTGTTTCCTGTGTGCTACACCTCTAGCAATAGGGGCTCCTTGCCTGGGACTACCCACTTCGTCTGTAAAATGACTTGGTCCTGAGAAGCTTTTCCTCCCAATGGCCACACCTCTGTCTTCCTCCCTTCCGCTCGGGACCATGGAGAATGCGTCTAACCCTCTTTAACATGATAGGCTTCGATTGTACGAAGAAAGGGTTTCCCTCCCCATACCTTCGAGTCTTTGCCCAAGAAGATAATAGTTCAGTGTGACTTCAGCTGCTCCTTGTGTGACCAGCCTGAGAGTTGCTGTCGAGTGTTTCAGTGTAACAGGCAGAACTGAGTGTGGTCTGCCAGGGAAAAGAGAGAGATTCGGTAACGCCATTCCCCTTCTCTAAGACATGTGACTGTCACCCCATGTTCTTGGAACACCAGGCAGAAAGCCCACTAGAATGCTCGTGTCTTTCACTCACGCTGCCGCTGAGCCCCGCCCCTCACCGCTCTTGGTGTTGCTGGTCTCCGGATGGACAGACGTGGGTGGGGCTGGGATGGGTGTTGATTGGCAGCTGTCACATTCTTGTCTACGTTAAATTTCATCTTATTAGAATTAAGCCTTTGCTCTAATTCGTCAACATTTGGGGAGCTGCTCATTTGTTTTTCCCTCCCAGTTCATTTTTATGCCATTTGCATGTTTATCAACCACACACACTACACATTTTTCAATCTGTGGTTAGAGCACTGAGCTCGGCCGGAGTGACTGGTGTCTTACAGGCCCCTGAGCCAGGCGCCCCAAACTGAGTTCGCTCGCAGAGGTAGTTGTTAAGCTCGCCGATCTGTGTTCAGCACACAGACGCCTCTGGCCAGCTGCGGGACTCTGGGCGAGGAGCCCTGCTCCTGTCCTCTCTCCCGTGACCGCGGTGTGAGGCTCGATGAGCGGCGTGTAGCAGGGAGTTTCAGCACAATTGACCCTTAGCAAGGGCTTAGAAACGTCGCTTTTACCATGTTGACAATGTAACTGAGCATCTTTCAGCCGGCTCACCCATGTCCCTGGGCACACAGACTGCGTTGCACACGGATCACACAGGTGCACCGATACTTTTAAGGGGATCCGTTTACAGATGCTAAACTTCCATAGTTGCTTAATACTGATCTGCCTAAGAACGGAGCCTCTCCAGCAGTTTCTCTTTTCCCTCCTCCCTTTCAGTCCCCTCCTCACAGTTTGCAAACCCAAGGCCCAGAATGCAAAGCCTCCAGGGCTAGAGTCACCTGGAGTCTCAGGGCACGGGGGATGTGGGAGTTCAGAGATGCTTGCATGTGAGGTGGTTAGCACTTTGCTTTCAACCAAATTGCTTGGTTATTGAAAATAATTTTTGGTAATAGGAGCATTATGGGAGTTTAGCATATGATTAGAAGGTCTTTAAAGAATTGTTATGCAGTGGTATAACAAACTCCTCCATCATCATCTGACTCCCGAAAGCAGGAAATAGAAAAACAGGGATGACATTAATGCTGAACCTTCTCGTTCTAGCAATAGGGAATATTTATCCATGCATTTAAAACTAATTCCATCCATCACATACCTTTCCAATAAAGTTTTCTTTCAATATTAGTATTTTAACAAGGATGATAATATATATTATTTTGATCAGTTTTATACTAATAATAATTGTGATGATAAACCAGAATTATTTTTTTAAGACTTAAAGACATATTGTTGCAGGAAATAAAATACATTAATTTGTGCTTATATATATTTATTTTAAATATGGAGAATGATGTATCAAATACACATTACGAGGGCCCTGGCCGGTTTGGCTCAGCAGTTAGGGTGTTGGACCGCAGACCAGAGAGTCTTGGGTTTGATTCCGGTCAAGGGTTTCAGGTTTGACCCCTGGCCCGGGTCGGGGTCATGCAGGAGGCAACCAATTGATGTGTCTCTGTCTCTCTCCGTTGATGTTTCCCTCCCTCCCTCCCTCCCTCCCTCCCTCCCTCTCACTCTATCTAAAAAAATCAGTGGAGAAGTGTCCTCAGGCGAGGATTAAAGACAAGACCTGGCGAGGGCGCTGTCAGGAGACGGGCAGGCTGAGAGGGGGCCCAGGGCGCGCTCCAGAGCTCGTTTAGGGGCACACAGGCTAGACGCTGAGCTTCACTCCGCCCGCTCTCTGTGCGTCTTGCTCACTGTCACTGCCCACTTCCCTGGCACTCACCCCGAGGGGAACGGCACGGCTCTGCCGCCCGGAGCCTGCTCCCAGGGCTGCCGCACCTGCGCCGGGTCGGCCGGCTCTGCCCGGCTCTGCTGGCAAAGCTGCTGCTGCTGCTTCTCCTGCGGGGCGGTTCTTCAGACCGTCCCGCCGCCTGGCCGCAGCCCTTCCCGCGCCGCTTCCTCGCCTCCCATCCCTGACCTCCTTCACGAATCCAAGTGAGTTTTCCCACCGGGACTTCTGCTGGCCACGTGAATCTGGAGAGAAAATGGACCTGGTTGGAGGAGGGCGTGGGAGGGCAGGGATGGGAGCGGCTGTCCCAGCATCATGACCCAGACCACCCTGCGTGAGAGGCGCGGTGGGCCGGTCCCTGGCGAACCCGCACTGAGCCTTCCGGGGTTGCAGGCATTGCTGTCTTTCCCTGACGTCGTGACTGGTACCACGCCAAGCTTTCCTAGAGAAAGAGGGATTGATTTTTCAATATTCACTCTTTGCACTTAGGGTGCAAGGTCCTTGGTGTACGGTGCCTCATTTTCTCCCGGGTCCCCTGTAAGACAGGTGTTCTTACCCCCGCGTGACAGCGAGGAGCCGGGAGCCCAGCGAGGAGACGGTTGTGGCTCATGTCGCAAAGCTCCTCGGTGGCAAAGCCAGGACTGAAGCTGTTCCATCCCAGAGCCCTTGGGTTTCCCGCGATGCCCCCTCCCGTCTGCGTAAGGAAGGAGGTGCCATGTAGCTGCCCGGTTTCCAACACTCCTTCGTTTTAACATCTTCACGTCACCCCGTCTCTGCCATCTCCCAGTGCCCTCAGCTCCTTGGGGTGGGACTCACCTGGGTCAGGACACGGGAGCTCACAGAGGGCCCAGGAGCTTTGTAGGTCCCGCCCGTCTCAGCGTCAGTCCTGCTGCTGGTGTCTGGTCTCCTCGGTTCTTCACGGTCCCTCCCGGTGGAGAGGACGGACGCTGGAGAGGACGGACGCTGGAGAGGACGGACGCTGGAGAGGACGGACGCTGGAGAGGACGGACGCTGGAGAGGACGGACGGAACAGGCGCGCGTTTCCCTTCTCTTTCCTCGGGCGGCTCCTCTGCGGGTGGGGCGTGCCCGGGTCTGCCCTCCAGCACTGGCTGCTTGACCCTCTCCTGCCAGGCCGAGCTCGGGACGTCAGCCTCCGGGACCGTTCTTGGGTGCTTGGCACTTCTTTATCCCTTGTTATTGTCTGTCCCTGATTCCAGCCTTCGTGTGGGCTGTTGTTGCTTTTTAGATCTTGGATTTTTCAGTTACTGGTGTGACTCCTAACGTTTTTCTCTTTCTCTTTATAATCAATTGTTAAAAAGTAAAAAAAAAACTCGTTAAAACGTACAACCTGTCCTTCCGGAGCTGTCCAGTGTTCCTGACTGTCTTCTGTCGAGTCACAGTCAGGCTCAGGGTCTGCCTGACATTGCAGAACAGTGTCGTGTCTGCTTCCGTCCTGGCCGCTTCTGTGATGACGAACGGTTCCGTCGTGTTAGAGTTTGGCCCGGGGTGGCCGTCCTCCCAGGGGGTGCTGTGCTGTTAGTCAGACAGCGCTCCACACACAGGTGCTGACGCCTCGACTTTTTCATCCTCACTCGAGGATATTTTTCCATTTATCTTCAGATAGAGGGAATGGAGGGAGAGAGAGAGAGAAACATTGATGTGAGAGGGACACATCACATCGCCTGGCTGCCTCCCGCACCATCCGACCAGGGCCAGGGACGAACGCAACCGAGGTGTGTGCCCTTGACTGGAATCGAACCTGCGACTCTTTGGTGCTTGGGCCGACGCTCTAACCACTGAGCAAGACTGGCCCGGGCAGTTGTTGACATCTTTTGCCATGACTGCAGTCTTTTCTCGGTGCCTGTGTTCTGATCTGTTGAGGACACACCTCAGAACTGGTTGGTGATCTCTTACAAGCTCTCAGGAGCAGCTGTATCGTGCCCTTTCCTCCCGCATGCGTCTCCGCTTCCACGCCGCTCGCGGGTCCCGTGGTGGTTCTGTGCGGCCTCCCCGCCCCGTGGGTCTGGCCGGGCACCCTGTGCAGTTGGCCCTTGTTCGGCCATGAAGTCTCCACACCACTGTGACAGCGACTACCCTTCCAGTTAGTCACCGTAGTAAAATACGTTACCCATGTGCTTAGAAAAATATCTCATGACTTTCTTTTGTATTACTATTATTTTTTTCTTTTGCTAAAAATTCATAGTAATAAATGAAGAATGTCAAAGTTTGCTGGAAAATACATATAAACTTTTGTTTGTCTGTAATTAAGTTGTGATCTAGTTCTAACATGCCGCCCACCTATACAGGTTCTCCTTAAGAGAAACCATTTTACAATCTTGACTACTGTAAATTGCTTCAGCCCAAATTCTAATTTTTAATCATTTTTTCCACATAAAATGTGCAGGTGCTTTTCATGCACTGAGCTGGAAATTGTGTTTTATGGTTACTTAAAATCGTTATCAATCTAGTACCTCAACCACTTCTGGTTCTGTCGTCACCTGTCCTGCAGGACTCACCGAAGGCCCAGCTCCGCCGGACCATCGAGTGCTGCCGGACCAACCTGTGCAACCAGTACCTGCAGCCCACCCTGCCCCCTGTGGTCATAGGTGAGTCGGCGGGGAGGGCGCGGTGCCACGTCCCTAAGACTGGCCTTGCCGGTCCGCACGTGCCCCGGAAGGCAAACTGCAGGGTGTCCTCTGGACGAGCTGACCGGGCTCCTCTCGCCGCAGGCCCCTTCCTGGACGGCAGCGTGCGCTGGCTGGTGGTGCTCGTCTCCATGGCCGTGTGCCTCGTGGCCATGGTCGTCTTCTCCAGCTGCTTCTGTTACAGGTAGGAGGCGCTCATGCCGCGCAGAATGTTCTGTTGAGTAGGAGATGGAAACAGGTGTTCTCACAGCCAGTGGGCAGAAACCACTGACCGCTGAATGTAACTCTCTGTCTTGTCTCTTTAAATTAACCAGATTATAATTTTCTTTAGGAAAAAGAGGACCTTACTGCCAATCATTTAATGAGACACAGCTTTATACTTCTTGTTATGTTCGTGAGCACTTATGATTCTCTTATTTATGGAGTTTTCAACCTTCTCGTATCTGAATGTTTGAGCCCTGTTCCAGGAAACCGACATCATCACCGTTCTTCAGTTATTTGGGCCTGGAGAATTGTTTGGGTTCAGTCATGATCTCAGAAGAAGTCACTGAAAAGAGAAGAGTGATAAGAGGCAGGCATACATTTCAAAAAGAAAACATCATCTTACTGCCACATACCCACAGAGATTCGTGGAACAGGTTTTTAGACCCATAAATAGACAAAGTGTATAGGAAAATTAGTATACAATAAAGGTGACATTTCAGGTCACTGAGGAAAAGATGGATCAATAAGTAGATGTGGGAGTGGGTTGCTGTGTGGGGGAAAATGAAGTTGAATCAATTCCCTACCCAGAAATAACTTTTAACCAGATTGGAGCTAGATATATACAAGATGAAATGATTCAAGTCCTAGAACAAACCATGCAGGAATTTTTAAAAACAATCTCAGAAGGTAGGAGACCTCCATGAGTCTGACATCAAACGTAGAGACAAACAAATCCTTAGGCCCTGGCTGGGGGCTCAGTTGGTTAGAGCATTGTCCCGATACGCCAGGGTTGTGGGTTCCTTCAGTCCCCCGTCAGGGCACCTACAAGAATCAACCAATGGCCCTGGCCGGTTTGGCTCAGCAGTTAGAGCGTCAGCCTGCGGTCCAGAGAGACCCGGGTTCGGTTCCCACTCAGGGCACATACCTCGGTTACAGTTTGTACCTGGTTGGTCGTATGGGTGGCAACCACTCGATGTGTCCCTTTCACGACGATGTTTCTCTCTCTCTGTCTCTTCCTCTCTCTCCCTCCCACTCTACCTGAACAAAAAATGGAAAAATGTCCTCGGGTGAGGATTAAAAAAAAGAATCAACCAATGAGTGCATAAGTAAGTGGATCGACAGATCGATGTTTCTCTGTCTGTCTCTCTCCCTCAAATCAATCAATAAAATTTTCTTAACCCTTCAAATTAAAAAAAAAAAAGACGGTGTCAGCTACCCACAAATAAAACTTTATTGTGGCAGAAACCCCCATAAACGGTCAGAAGGTGACTGTCCTTGAAAAACATCGGCAGCTCGTATTACGAAGATCTTTCTCGAATAGCAGGAGCTTCTATAAACCAGAAAGGAAAAACATCCAGTAAATTGTTGGGGAAATAGGCCACAAAAATGAACACATTTTATCCAAAAATAAATACGTGTGGCTCTTAAAAATGAAAAGCTTACTGAAGAATGCTCGTAATGTGAAGAATGCACATTGGAAGTAGCTGAGCGACTGTTTTTCACCTGTTACACTGGCAGAGATTCAGGGTTGCTGACAGGTCTTTGAGCTGAAGCGGCATTTGTTTCCCTCTGCTCCCCCAACTCAAACAGCAGCAGTTTGTGACTTCTTTGTCCAACTAGGACGAGGAACACAGGAGGTAACAGCAAAAACTTCGGATGGACATTCAGTGACCACAGACCTGAGCAGTTGGAATCCTCCGTGGAAACTGGTCGCCAACAAGCAACCACCTCGCACTGGGAAATCCCCGAGAGCGGGGAGCTGGTGGGATCAGTTATCCCTGGAAGCCACGCTAGGACGGCATACGACCCAAAACATTGCTTAAAAGTCTAGTTTTAGAAAGTTGGAGGCCGTCCTGGTTCTGGAGCATTAAGACATCACTCCTAACTCAGTGCTTCAGCAGTTACTGCCCCTCACTGTTCCTGGGGCAGGAATGAGGAGTGACCTGGCTGGTGTTCAGGACCTCACCCGAGGGCTGGACAAGCTGGTAACTCACCTCCTCCGTAACTCACCTCCCAGCAGCTCCCCTCCCGGCAGCTCCCCTCCCAGGCAGCTCACTCCCCATAGCTCCCCTCCCCGGTAGCTCCCCTCCCCCCATAGCTCACCCCAACCCGTAGCTCACCCCTCCCCCGTAGCTCACCCCCCGTAGCTCACCCGCCCCCCGTAGCTCCCCCCCTGGTAGCTCACCTCCCAGGTAGCTCACCCATCTGGTAGCTCACCCCGCCCCCGTAGCTCACCTCTTAGGTAGCTCACCTCCCAGGCAGCTCAGCTCAAGGTAGCTCACCTCCCAGGTAGCTCACCCGCCCCCCGTAGCTCCCGCCCTGGTAGCTCACCTCCCAGGTAGCTCACCCATCTGGTAGCTCACCCCGCCCCCGTAGCTCACCTCTTAGGTAGCTCACCTCCCAGGCAGCTCAGCTCAAGGTAGCTCACCTCCCAGGTAGCTCACCCGCCCCCCGTAGCTCCCGCCCTGGTAGCTCACCTCCCAGGTAGCTCACCCATCTGGTAGCTCACCCCGCCCCTGTAGCTCACCTCTTAGGTAGCTCACCTCCCAGGTAGCTCACCTCCCAGGCTCTAAGTTGTCGGGCGACCTTAATCCCTCATGGGAGCCTCTCCACAGAGCTGCTTAGGTGTCCTAGCAGCATGCAGCCTGGCGTCCTTCTGGGTGCGGGACCCAGGGGACCAGGGCGGAACTGCAGTGCTGCTGACGGTCTGCAGCAGCGACGTCCCCCCGAGGAGCTGCAAGAACCTTTACAGCATGTAACCCGTTTAGTCAGGCTCTGGCCTCTTTCCCCTTAGGGTGTCACATGGGGAACGACAGCAGCAAGCCCTGGCCGGTCTGGCTCAGTGGATAGAGCGTCAGCCCGCACACCAAAGGGTTGAGGGTTTGATTCCCAGTCAAGAGTATGTACCTCAATCCCCGCCCCAAGCATGAGGGAGGCAACTAATTCATGTGTCTCTCTCACATCGATGTTTCTCTCTCTCTCTCTCTCTCTCTAAATCAGTGGAAAAAATATCCTTGGGTGAGGACAGACCAAAAAAAAAGTCAACAGCCACCACAACAATAGCCGTCTGGAGTGAATGAATCAGAATTATGCCTGTTTTTTTGTCAGATGTATTTTGGGGTGCGGCAGAATTCTAGCGAGGAGCTCCTGTGCGCCTGAGATGGAAGGGGGGTGAATTGCTGGGCTGGACTCAGAAGTCACATCCTCACCTCTGCCGTGGCTGCTGGTCACTCGGCTTGGGTCCCTTATGGAAGGGATGTAAACAAGGACATGCACCCCGAGAGATGAGGACCCTGGCAGGCGCCTGTGGGCCCGAGCACCGCAGACAGTGAGAGCCCCACTCCTGTTCTGAGTGATCATGTGACTTCCCCACCGTCTCCCTGATGGCAGGCTACCAGGGTATCATCTGGAAAACAAACTGTGGAACCCTGCTTTTGAGGGTGAGGGGTTATAAGTGAAAACAAGGAGATAAAGTGAACTTTTCATGCTGGTTGGTGAGTCCCTCAACCCTCCCCAAATCCTGCCAACCAGGCTAGTTCCCTGGAGACAACCCACAGGGAGACTCTTCTTAGGGAAATGTATTCAGCTCAAGAGAGAAAAACTCATGCTGCCCTCAGGATCCAGTGAAATGGCCCAGGCAGGAGACTGTGCAGTGCTGCCTGTAGTCAGCACGACCCACTGACACACTAACACACTGACAGCTGCCTGTAGTCAGCACGACCCGCTGACACACTAACACACTGACAGCTGCCTGTAGTCAGCACGACCCGCTGACACACTAACACACTGACAGCTGCCTGTAGTCAGCACGACCCACTGACACGTTGACAGCTGCCTGTAGTCAGCACGACCCGCTGACACACTGACAGCTGCCTGTAGTCACACGACCCACTGACACACTGATAGCTGCCTGTAGTCAGCATGACACACTGATAGCTGCCTGTAGTCAGCATGACACACTGACACACTGACAGCTGCCTGTAGTCAGCACGACCCACTGACACGCTGACAGCTGCCTGTAGTCAGCACGACCCGCTGACACACTGACAGCTGCCTGTAGTCACACGACCCGCTGACACACTGATAGCTGCCTGTAGTCAGCATGACACACTGATAGCTGCCTGTAGTCAGCATGACCCACTGACACACTGACAGCTGTCTGTAGTCAGCACGACCCGCTGACAGCTGCCTGTAGTCAGCACGACCCGCTGACACACTGACAGCTGCCTGTAGTCACACGACCCACTGACACACTGATAGCTGCCTGTAGTCAGCATGACACACTGATAGCTGCCTGTAGTCAGCATGACACACTGACAGCTGCCTGTAGTCAGCACGACCCACTGACACGCTGACAGCTGCCTGTAGTCAGCACGATCCGCTGACACACTGACAGCTGCCTGTAGTCAGCACGACCCACTGACACGCTGACAGCTGCCTGTAGTCAGCACGTCCCGCTGACAGCTGCCTGTAGTCAGCACGACCCGCGGACACGCTGACAGCTGCCTGTAGTCAGCACGACCCGCTGACACACTGCCAGCTGCCAGCAGATGGTCAAGGACACCCGTCCCCTAGAAGCAGGAAAGGAGCGAGGGAGTCAGAGTCGCCCACCTCGCTGCCTGGAGAGAGCCTCTGGCTGCAGGACAGGAGTCGGCACCCAGCAGGTCTGAGTGGAGGACAGAGCTGAGGGTGGGGACAGCAGGGGCTCGTGGACGGGGTGCCGGCAAGGAGAGGCCTCTGGGCAGAGCACCGAGTCCGCAGGGGCACCTGTGGCGTCTTCCACTGTCTTGTCAGCGAGGACACATGAGAAAGCTGCGAGGCTGGGGGTAGGGGGTAGGGCTGTCCCCCACTGTGGGCCTGGAGAACTGCACAGTCCACAGCGTGGGTTCTGGCCTCCGCGTTGGGGAGTAGTGAACCCACACTCGGCGTGGCTCTGATCCTGCCTCGAAAACAGGACCCCAAGGACTGGACCTTCTTCAG